TGTAGACCTTAGAGGTGGGGTTGGCCGTGGGTGTAGACCTTAGAGGTGGGGTTGGCCGTGGCTGTAGACCTTAGAGGTGGGGTTGGCTGTGGCTGTAGGCTTAGAGATGGCTTTGGTCGTGGGTGTAGACTTAGAGATGGCTTTGGCTGTGGGTGTAGACCTTAGAGGTGGGGTTGGCCGTGGGCGTAGACTTAGAGATGGCTTTGGCCGTGGCTGTAGACCTTAGAGGTGGGACCATGCTGCGTTGGGTCTGCACTCGGACCTAAATCACAGCCCATCTTGTCTCTCCATTGGCCAGGCAGCTGCAGCACGACTTTCCCAGGGCCCTGATTCTCAGCACAGATGACTTTTTCTTCCGGGAAGATGGCACCTACGAGTTCAACCCTGACTTCCTGGAGGAAGCTCACAAATGGAACCAGAAAAGAGGTGACGCTCCCTCCCACACTCCCGGGAAGCCCTGTTGTCATTAGAGATTGTAGCTGCTGAGGAATGTGTACGTTCTATAGAAGGATCCGAATCGGAAACCCTCTACTCTCTCCCCCCTCAAGCTAAGCATAACCCCTGCCTTAGATTCCAGGAGAGAAAATGGTTGGTAACAGGCCTGGAACTAGCCGGCCTTAAAGCCCTGGGTCAAGGACAAGAAAACTAACTAAAATGTGGATCTCGCTCACTCTTCTCTGATTGTTGCATGTTGCTCACTGTTGTTATGTAACATTGTGTTGCAGCCAGAAAAGCAATGAGGAATGGCATATCCCCCATAATTATTGATAATACCAACCTCCACGCCTGGGAAATGAAGCCCTATGCCGTCATGGTAGGAAGAAGTATCCTTCTGAATTTTTCAGTTGTGGACATGTTATGAAAAAGTTGAAACTTTTGTTCTCTCCTCTTTTTCTGACCTTCCACGATCTCTCTCATCAAACCTACTATTCAGTCGCTTCCCCAGGGAGCGAGGGAAAAGGGTGGGTCTAGTTTTGCGTTGCTCCGCTGTTGGATGGCTGAAATTCGCTGGGATGCTAACCTCACCTTGGGCACCATTTTAAAATGTTGTTGTTCGGTGTCGTGGATCTAATTCCCACTCATAGTGCCCCCAATGTAACAGAGTAGAACTGCCCCACAGGGTTTCCTAGGCTGTCATCTATTGTGTCACTATATACTC